TCTAGCAATAGTCTTAGACCGTATCTAGCACGCAGAAAAAATATAGAAGATATCGAAAAAATCGATGATGATGACGGAATCATCCTTATACCCAAGGTAAGTGACTCACAGAGTAAGGATGCTAACGCATCTGAAACTAGTATTAGCGAAATTAACAAGAATAATAGCGAAGCTAGTGCCAAAGCACATATGTTAAATATATCGATAAAACCAGATATATCACCATTTATACCCGAGAATATAACCTCTCAGCTCGCACAATAGGAAAATTATACTTTCTCTCCAAGTAGTTTGGTGTCATCGCTATCAGTATATATGTTACTTATCTTACTGATTATTGCTGTTATATGGTTCGTGGTATTTAGGTGTGAATGGGGTATAGGTAAAAAAAGTAAACAGTTGCAGGATATGTGGATCGGATAATAGGATTATCTATTTGAACTTGGATATTATTTGTATACAGAAAATATAATAGTTTTTAATCATGGCTAATACTTGTTGTAGTTGTAAGGAAATATCATCACCTTTATATACAGATAGTATTGTTACACATTCCTTTATAGTTGTAGGGATGAGATTTCGCGATGGCCATAAGTTTAAGAAATTAGATACTATCACTCTTGAACTGGAACCTTCTAATACATATGATAAGAATGCGATAAAAGTTATGGTAGATGATACCGATAAAGCCTATGTGGCAAAGAACGAGAATGTAAGTATAGGAGATTTGATGAAAAAATACCCGAATTATCAGATCACTGTTCATGGGAAAAAGAACTATAATCAATCAGCGTCTTTAAATCTCAAATATTCTTGGATGGTTTGTGGAAGATGTCATAATATACTACAAGCATCGAGAGATTATGACTATACTTATTAATGAATCTATTTGAATTTGGGAGTTATTTATTTATCATTAATTATTGCAAGGCAATGGGCAAAGCCCTACATGTATTTATAAAGACAAATTTAATCAATTATACATATTGAGAAAAAAAAAGCTATTAATCATCACGAAATAGCAATAAATAAAAGTCTAAAGTACTAGCCCTCAGGAATACCTTAGATGATTTTATTTTAAAGATATATATATATGAATAAGTTATATAATAAATAGATATATTAATTGAATAAATAGATATGTATATTATGCATTATTAATTTGACGCATTTCTTCTCGAACTGTCCATAATAATTAGTAATGTTGAGCAAGTTCTTTAGCCGTCATTCCATTGGGGCGATACATATATTCAAGCCATTTTTGTGCTATGATATTTATAGCATGAATTTTTCTACCAATTTCTCTTGCATGTTTAACTCTTCTAATAGCATTCTGTATCCACAATTCATAATGACGAATCACTATTTTTTCGAAGTAAGAGTTATTAGCTTCGGATCTGCTTTTAAATTCCATATAGTCTTTATAACTAATATCACAATATGCGTTTCCTGTGCAATTTGTACTCCAATGTTTTTCAATTGTAGATCTATGATATTCTCCATAAATACATTTCCAATCAACATAAACAAGCTGATCACAACTATGGCATATTGCAATATTCACTTCAAAAGCACTGCCAAGATCACCTTCCCATAACTATACCATCTTCCTAGCAACCATATACTGCTTATGAGATTCAGATAAACAATTATTTTTTCTATAATTTATTAGCTGACCCCAGATTCGTTTTTTCCAATCAGATGGGATTTCTCCATCACGAATTACTGGGAATTGACAATTATCTCTCCATTCAATTTCATTTAAAACTGGGCATTTATCTGTATAGACCATATTTAACAATTAAGTGATTTATAGTGTGTTTATGGAAGTTATGAGATTTATATCGTATTTTAGGAATTCAGACCTATTTAATTTTAATAACTTATACTCTAAAATATATCGGATTCAATTTTTGTTGATTTAGGTTCTCTTTGAATAATGTATATATTCGATATACACCTATACAATAGAAGCTCTTCATATTTAGTGATTATCATATATATCATATGTATATCATCAGAACTGTTAAAAACATTGTTAATCTTTCTAGCTCATTATCTTTTAGCTCTTTAGTATCTATCTCAGATTGAAACGCTCTATTTCTCAGATCCAATGCAAAGTTATTTTCTATTTGTCGATATGCTTCGAAGAAGTACCCCTAAAGAGGCATATTGTATAACTCCTGATCTTATACTGAGAAATACGAAACATATCTCTTTAGAGTTGTGGAGAGTTTCAGAAGCTATATGTTGAAAATGTTATCCGAGCTAAGTTCGATTACTTTTCCGTTCCAATTTGTCACGAAAACCATATGATAGAAGTAAAGTATTTTGAGTTCGGTAATGGTATTTATAGCAGAGCTAGTGTCTCTAACACATATAAAATTACTCGTGTAGATATTGTTGTAACGATTACTTATGATGATTGACAGGCATATGAAATCAACAAATGATAGTCATGGTAGATTGTGAATGGAGAATCTATTTCGGACATATAGTTTATTCTCGGATATAAGTATCAAAACGGTTCATAAACTGTACTGGTAAATAGTTATGAGATTTTTAACATGAGCAGATGTCAATAACGAACTATTTTTAACTATGATATTGACGTAATTTTACCACGATATATTTATTGCAAAGCAATGAGGTTTCACCTCTTCAGTTTATAGTAAGTAGTAACTTGTGTAACTTGGTATCTTCGCTAAAATTATCAACCTATCATATGATATATATCATAGAAGGAATTCAAATGTAATAGAAACTACATGCATAGCCACTGTGTGACCGCCTTCAGAAATTTGATCATGCGATACATTGATTTCCAAATTTAATTAGTACCCCTTACATCTGCATATCTATATGAAAAAGCAGATAAATAACATCACTTTTTATACTTTATTAGCTTTACTGCTTCCCTATTTATATTTATCACAAAACTAATCTGATATGTTGTACTTTTTACAAATAGGGATATCGATAACCTGGTTTGAATAATCGACTCAAGATATATACATATCCTTTGTTCTTATACATACGCTATCTTTTTTTCTTTGTGTAATATTATGATTGTAAACATGTCACATTAATTAGAAAGTAGATCGGCACGTCTCAAATGACAATTAGATGATAATTATATTTTTCATTGTATATATCCTGTATTTTTACCATGTATTTTTACCATGTATTTTTTATTATATTAATAAAGGTGGCCTTGTGACTGATTTCGTATATTTAATCATGTTGACTTTCTGCGGGATTTATTACGTTTATTGATATCTATGATCGATCAAATTAGATTTTTTACATTTCAGATTTTGACGACGGGCCGTCGCTGAAAGTTAGATCATGTATCTTAATTAATTTGAATCTCAAAGGGCAAATCCAAATCTGAATACAATGAGGTTAAAAGATAATTTCATCATTATTAATAACAACAATATATGTATTACCCTATTCAGAGAGCAGGAATTTGTAGTACAGTAGTTTGTCCACATGACTCGGTCCAGTTGTGCATATTTATTCGAATAACACAAAGTATTAATCGTTTTTGTTTTTCCTTCTAAAAGAAACAAGCTGTTAACAATTAATATGTCCAATTTACAAAGGCTTCATTACTTTGAAAATAATACATCATGGAGTTTGGAAAATTTTCTACAATGGAGTACATTTTATGCTCGCGATTTTGGAAGTAAAGACGATGAGCATCGTATTTACAAGACGTACTTAGAAAATATTTGTAAAGATCCGAATCTAATAAAATCTCGTGATAATGAAACAGTTCGAAAGTTAGCAGAGGAGGCTTTAGAGAAATTTAGGGTTTGTAAACTTTAATAATAAAGGTTTAACCAAGAGGTGCTAGGATACGTCTGACAGCCCACTGGATACGTCTGGCGGGGCACCTTAGGATACGTCTGAATTGGTTACAACTATTTTGTGATGTTGCGTAAAATTTGCTACTGATTTAGCCCAAAGGTGCTAGGATACGTCTGACAGCTCACTGGACACGTCTGGTGGGGCACCTTAAGATACGTCTGAATGGGTTTTTTTTCTGCTTTATTCATTTAGGATGAAGTAAATTCAGTTCAAATTGATGACCTTTGGAGAAAGTGTCCATCCTTCCTAGAAACTTTGAAGAAAGCAATAGACCTTAATGCTGATAAGATGGCTTCTCGAGTGGCAGTATTACATGATAACTTCAGCGATACAATCTTTAATGTCACCCAAGATCAATTACGATCTGGTTTTGGTATTACATTTAAGTTTTTCATATTTTATTGTTTCAATTGAGTAAACTTACTTAATAATGAATATTGGTAATCTGTTAGAGCGTAAACGGTCATATTTTTTCGACGAAAAGTCACACGAGTTACAACCGAAAAAGACAAAAACTAGTAATGCTGTTGAAGAGACGAATGACGAAAACTACATTAATTATGGCAAAAGGTCACCTACAGCAATGGTATGTTTCATTGTTTTAACTCACCTTTTGTTTGATATTGTTCTGTAATGTTTGACAATTCAAAAACCGTTGCTAATTTTTTATGACTTTTTAGACAAATTCCGAATCCAAGGATCCTATTTCTGTTTCTGGAAATAATGATCACTCGGACCAACCAACTAGAGAGGTGAGATAATGAGTCTTTTAAATTATTTTTGATTCATCAATATTTATTAAAAACTTTTCAGTCTTCCATCAATCTGGATTTTTCATTCGGATCAATTGAGGTTAGTTGTATGAAATAAATTTTTTTTTTCAATAATTTCCGATAAAAATTAATCTGATTATTTTTTCTAGAGCGCAAATTATGATATTGGACTTGGAAGTTACGAAGAAGGGACAGAAATCAATCCTGATCTATCGTTTCAAGAAACTGACGAAGATTTAACAGTACCAGTATCAGAACAACCCTTTAGGGAAGATATTTGGGGACAATGGAAATTAGGCTCTGGCAAAATTATTACTGATCTTTTGGCCAAATCTGCTAATAAAAAAGGACATCCACTCAGGTAGTTATAGACAATTGTTAATTATTAATATATGCTGATACTAATTAAATTTTTTTTTTTAGACCCGAAGTCTGGGGAATTGCTCGCTGTGGTTTTAAAATTGCTAAACCTTCTTGGTGTAGCACTGACGATTATGCAGAAATCCAAAGATTCACAAGACGTTCAACTATCTCTAATAGTCCCGAAACTATATCTAAACTTTTGAAATTGGTATGTCTTTATTTTTACGCAATTCTTTATTATTTATTCTTGAGGAATTCTAAAATTACTCTTTGCAATAGAAAACACTTGAATCTTTAAAGGAGGAAATAGAGAAAGTCCAGCTTTTAATTAATGAAATCAACAACGAAAATAGTAGAAAATTTCTTTTGCAAGAGCTTAAAATAAATTACACTATGTCTCTTCTTCAGGATCCCTTTACAAATTTTTTTATTAAAATTTTATCAATATTGTAAATATCATTTGTTATAGTTAATATTAGTTTGCTATATATTAAAACTTTTTTCTTTACACACAGTTGTCATGATGTCTTTCCAGATGATTCAGCAATTCAACAACAAAATATATCAGAATCGGATTATGGTGGCTACATTATTCACCCTTCTTTGAAATGCATGCTCTCTGGTTTGGAAAAGAGTATACGTTACCATATGTAAGTAAATATTTCTTGATCTCCATTCACAATAATTTTTGTAATAATTATTTATGTTTGATGACTTTTATTTAAGGGGGGAGGTAATTTTGTCATCAGTTAAGTCATGTCGTGAAAGGCGCAGGTGTAATACCCTTTTTGAGCAAAAAGCGGATGGAATTTTTGTAGTACGATTAAAAAAATCTTTTGTTGAAGTTGGTCACTTAGAGATGAGTGGTGGCCATGGGCATAGAGATTTCTCACGATCAACATGGGATGGTTGTTGCAAGTTGCCAATTGGTAACGCATACATGCTGGAAGAGATCGGAGAACGATTTCGAGGAGCATCGTGTGAAACTTTTTCAAAAATAAGTGTTTTTTCTCTGCACACTTATGGTAGGTGTAATATAATATTCTTAAAGCTTTCTTTCATAATTTTGTTACTTATCCTTTGCATTCAGAGAATCGGATAGAACTTTGGAGAATGCATGTCCCGTCCCGTGGTGTTTTACAATATGAACGAACTCATAGAGCAACTGTTCCTATTTGCTTTGAAGATGAGCGAAAATGTATCTTTGATTTTGTTGTTGTCTTGTGGGATCTTAGGGTAATGTTCCCTCTTTTGAAAATTTAATGTTTCGTCATACTTTAACATCAACTTATTTACTTAATTATAGTGTTGGTTACTGGAAGTTACTAATGTCATTTATAAACTACGTGAAGAACATAATGATTCGGATGTGAATGTGTCCAATCTTTCTTCTGGTATTCTTCCACTCCACCCATTTATCCCGCAAAAAGATAAACACAAAAAAGGTATCACAACCACTTATGCAAAAAGTGAACCAAATAGCTCTTTCATTCGGTCTGGTCAATGAAGATTTTTAATATATATATTATATTACGTTACAATTAATAATAGTATAATTTTTAGCAAAGGAAAAGTGATTGTTTTTGTTCTGATTTTAATGAAAAAAATACAATTTTTATTATAAATCAATAAAATGCTAGATCAATTTTTATTACATATAACTACGCAATATTTTTTGCTACTTTAGTTACGCATTTTAAATAAATAATGAATATTTACAATCTATTACTAAAACATGCAATCCGAGGTTGATTCATTAAAACAACGAATTTCTGAGCTTGAAGCCGAAAAGGCTGAGATTGAAGCCAAGAATGCCGAGCTTTTAAAACAGGTTACGGAAGAAAGCACCAAACGCGAAGCTGAGAATATTGAGCTCAAAGCCAGGATCGCCAAATTGGAACAGATCGCAGAAGAAAATACTGAGCTTAAAGATAGAATTACGAAATTGGAACAGAAACAGATCCAGGTTATTACTAATGAACAGGAAGCACCTCCTACAAAAGATATTTCGCCACTTATCGAGAGCCATTCTTATGAGGAGAAAGGTATTACCCCCGATCCCTTGCCTGAAATAGAATATAGCTCAACCCAATCTGAATCTTCAACGGAGCCTGAAATATCTACAACTTCTTTACCACAAGATATTGTCCATGACGATTCAGCTGAGATCCTTGATTTTGTAGAAGTGATACATAAGGAAAGGATTAGTAGTGAGATAAGAGAGAGGAACCGGGAAAAAAAACTTCAAGAATCACATAATGACTCAACTCCACCGATACAACCCGAAGTATCAACCACGTCGACACCTGAATCTCTGGACTCGAAAACTGTGAAAAAGCTTTGGGATCAGAATCAAAATAAAAGCCTGGACAAAACATCCCAATCGCACAAGAAAAAGGGAATAGAGGATCCGCCCAGGTGATAGCTGATGGCATTCAGGATAATGTTATTTCAGATCGAAGCTTTGCTTCCTCAAATCATGTAATTGAAATTTCAGCGACGGCCCGTCGTCAAAATTCTGATACAATCTCATTACTCGATTTAGCTCAATTATTTGATAAAGCAACAAATGCTGAATATTATGCTACAAAAGCTAACCAGGAAGAAACCTTATGCTGGATTAACTATGGAAAAGAATTCGTAATTCAATATAATGATCTTATAAAAAACAATAATGGCAAAATTGGCGAGAAAAAGGCAAAAGGTATAATTTATGATAAAATACTAGAGCACCTTACTATCATCCGTGAAAAAAGATCCAAGGAAATGGGATTACAGCTCCCAGAAATCTCGCGTAAAACTTTGTGTAGAAAAACCCAAAGGGCTATAAAGACTTATAAATTATTCGAAAAAATAGGCATTGATAAAATTAAGTATCTTAAAGCATACAGTGCAAATTCTATTTCAGAATTGACAAACGATCAAATCCAAAAGATTATCGATAATATTTGATGAATATATAATATAGAAAATCACATGAGTGGAATTTCGACGACGGCCCGTCGCCAAAATCATGTAACCGAAATTTTGCCTGAGGTAAGTACACCCGCCAAACCTCAAACCTCTAACTCTTCTGTGAAAACTAAGATCTTACCAGAAGTCAAGACGAGTGAAGAAAGTATATCTACACCTCAACTCAAGAAGACTTTAACTGAAAAGCAAAATAATCCGACCCATGACCATGCTTACTTTCGTAATAAGATACTGTTGCGATATTCTGATCTATATAAAACATTTATTACTGAAAAATTTGATTACTATGATATTATTGAGGGATCATTA